TATTACATTTATTACACATTGAGATTTGTATCTAGGAGTTATTTCCTATATGGAAATTAAGCTCTGCTTCACCAAAATCATCATCTTAATTCTGAGCATGCCTTGCAAATGTTGAAAGTAAAAGTCTGTCAAAAATGACATATGCATTTCTCTGTCTTTTGAAGTTGTCTGTAAACGTTTCCAGTTCAGAAAGTTTCTTTTAACAGGGTTTGTCATTTCAGGCATTGTATTGCTGCAATACTCTAACTATATTTCTGTAGGGTTTTGCATACCACATTGTGATTGCCCTGGCTCTGTTGGAAATAGTTTGAAGATTTCTGCCTCTGAATTTTGGACCACCTTCTCATATCCTTATTTAATAAGTAATTTTTCCCCCCCTCTCTGAGATACTGGTAATCTGCAGAATTTGATGGAGCTACCTGTCCCACTCTAATAACTGTGGTGGGGGGAGGGAGGAAAGGAAGGCTTTTTATTACAACCCTCAACTCGTTGGTCAGTGGTACTAGAAAAGGAGATTATATATAAGAATGTAATAGGGAACATAGTAGTAGGGAACAAAGTGTAGGCATATTGACCTAACAGCTGGTAAAGACTAACACTGTAATTGGGATTAGAGATTATTTTACTGGAAGTTGTGTCTGTGGCAAAGTTTGTTCTGCATACAGCAGTACAACTTTGAACAGTAAAGGTATCTTCTGCCCTGAATTCAAGACAGATGTGCAGGAAGTGAACATACTTTAAATGTTAGTAAGAAAAATAAATGTTTATTCTTTAGTATTTAGCTATTAGTGACAAAAGAACATGAGAAAGTCTTGGTTTTGTTTTCTTACTTGACAGCTCACACTGACACATAGAAATGATGAGCAAGAATAGACTTTGTCAAAGGTTTAACTAAACGATTTCACTTGAGAAAGATGATAAAATGTCTCTTACGCTGCATTATTTCAGTGTTCTGTGCAGGAATTATTCCCGCATTGAATTGTCATGTAGTCTAGGTTCATGAGATGCTCTACATGGAAAGCAATCCAGAAAGAATGACTCAATATCTGGAAAATAAGACTCAAGATTAGTTTATTTTATGGAAAGTCCAGGGGTGATCTGAGCATTATTTATCCTAACAACAATATATGTGCGTAAGCACAATCATTTGAATGTCATTATACCCATTCTTGACAAATATTTCAGTATCTTCCCAAATTACATTTTACGGTTTAAACAAGTTATAGGAACAAAACAATAGAAGATTAGATCAAGTTTTTAGGCCACCGTTATACTAGAAAGGAATCCTAGTTTTAAGATTGCTTTAGAATTTCCCAAAATCATTATTTCTGTCCATTTAAGTTATGGAAAAAAATGTTGGCTGTAGGAAGATACACAGAAGGTTTTTTTCTGTCACATGGCAAGTCTGTCATTATTTATTAAATGAATAATCCATAGAGTGATTGCAGTCAGTGCAGGTTCATTATAAAGTATGAAACTTTACCTGTTACTTCTGGTTTATTAGTAGAGAATTTAAATTCTCTAAATGTTTCTTTTTTTTTTTCTTAATCAAATATTGTGCATGCAGACAAACAAAAATTTAAAAGAATATGGTTTAAGCTGCCCCCCAGTAGCCTTTCCAACATCTATTTAGATTCTTCTGAGACATCTCCAAGTAAAGATTGGTTTGGTTCTGCATTTTTCAGTCTTGTGAACTACCACTTCCTCAAAACTTCACACCATAATTCTCAGTCTTGTTCCTCTATTTCTTCTTGGCTTTATGCTCCCATATTCATTACATTATGCCTGCTGTTAGGTTGTATGCTTATGAGTTTTATTTGCTTATAATTACTTTACAAGCTCCTATTGGGAAATTATTGGTAAGGAAAACAATGGAATACAGAAAATTGCTTCTATAAAAGACAGACCAGAGTTAAATTAGAGTGCCACACATATGTATTGCTGCAGATGTTTTTGTTGCTCTGATGCTGTCAGTATGCCCACTATGTTCTGTATTGAGCAGTGAGTTTGAGGCCCTAGTCTGGCCACTCCTGCCAGATGCAGTTAGGGGGGAAGGACAACAAAGGTTCTTGGAGTCAGGTGTGATTTCCAATGGATGTGGCATAAACCGCTGAGCTGTGAGTAAAGGCCCTGAAAGCTTGCCCTTAGTATTTAAAGTCTTCTTTCTATATTCTGAGATTTTCTGAAGTTTAGTTCACAGTGACCAGAGGCCAATAAAGCAATAGCAGCAGTTGTTAAGGGGAAAATACAGTCATGGTTATAATTTTCTTTTAATATATGTGCAATACATCAAGATAATGAAGGACAGGAATAATCTTATTGTCAAGAAAGAAACTGAAAGCTTTATGTAATATATCTCTTTGGAATTTACACTTAAAAACAAATGTATAAAATTAAACCATTTTTCTGTAATGTAAAATGCTTTTTAAAGAAGTTAAGTTTTGGGTTTTAAATGAAGAAAATTATATTGAGTTTTTTCACAATATTTGAATCAGCAGAAACTAATTACTCCCACATTGGATAGTTTGGATAATTAAAAATTTTGTTGTTGTTAGGAACATATGAATGTAATTTAATAGAGAAGTTTTGTAAGAAAATGTAACTGCATTGTTTGTCTGTTGTTTCAATTGAAACAGTTTAATTTTTTTCTTGGAAGTCAGATCTAACTTTGAAAATTTGAGAGGAAAGTTTCAGGAAAGTTCTGTTCTCCCCCCCCAAAAAAAAAAGCAGTACTGTTATTTCTCATTTATGTACTGTGTACTCACTCAGAAGAGGGATGATTACAGAATTCTAAGCATAAAAGCAACAAAATGTGTGCTATTAGTATTAGTATCATGTAAAAATCTGGTGCGGGGGAGAAGAAAAAGACCACCTTGTCTCTCTTCCATAGCAAAAATATTTTCCACTGGTCATACTCTTATATGCTGAACTACACAGAGGTTTTAGCATTATTAAAATTAAGAAACACTTATTAATGGACTAAGACCTTCCAATAATGCAGTAACACCTTTTTTTTTTTTTTAAACCGAAAGGTTTAGAAGAAAAGTTTGCTTGCCACAACAATCCACTTGTGATTTATTCATGTGTGTGTTAGGTTTGAATATGTTTGTAGACACAAAAAATTTGTATTTGAAAATTAATGCCACTTACATGTATATAGCTGTTAATCTAATTTAAACACAAGGTATTTGAAATGAGGATTTAAAAAAACTTGCAAGATGAATCCCTTTTTTCTTTTTCTTTTTTTTTTTATATTCACTGTACCTATATCTGTATTTTTCTTACCATTCCTTTTTTAAAACAGCAATTAAAGGTATATATTATCTTTGATCAAATGGAGATCTATCTAGCTTTGTACCTGACGTCCTCTGCAGGTAATCTGAAAATAAAAATAAAAAAGCTAGGCGTGGGCAATGCCCACTCATTATGTAATTTTTATAGGTCTCTATTTAATGTTTTTGAAAGTAGCTCTTTCTTCAAGTTGAAAAGTTTATTTGGAACAACTTTCATACACATTGTATTTTCTTTTGATTTTTCCTTGTCACTAGTCTACAATCCAGGTACTTTCTTCTCTTTGCCAATGAGGTGACTGGCTCTGCACACTGCTTTCAAGATCTATGTGCACCATAGGTCTGTGCCAAGGTATCACATCATCATGTATGTGTTTGTAGTCAGCTTTAAAGTGGTGTTACTATCTGCAGACATTAACACCTCACATTCATTAAACAGCACAGTAACCTGCAGAGTTCATAGTAAGACTTCTTTGCTACAGATTTGTACTTTGAAAACTAATAATTCATTTCTGTATTGATTTACTATTTTTTCGAGCAAGTTTGGTTTGTTTCTTTTTTGGTTGTTTGGTTTTGCTGTTGTTGTTGTTTTTTAACCAAAGCAGACCTTTCCTCTTATACCATCACAGCATAAACTTTTCTGAAGCCTTAGGTGTGTTTTTTACAAACCAGTATCAACCTGATCATTCTTACCTGGGCCTTTGCAGGCACTCCATTAAAGCAGCACTATTTATTTGTTACTTGTGAGTGCTACAAAATTATGTGCTACCTTGCTTTTCCATTACATTGGTTTATCTGTACATTGTTTAAGAAAAGCTGTTCTGGCTTGTAGTTTCCAGCATCCTCCTAAAGTTTTGGGTTGTGTGTTCTGAAATGTCTTCAATTTGAGACAGTGTCCAAAACATATGAGTTGAGAAGTATAGAACTTGTCTGAGAACCTCTTTGACCTTTCCTGTGGTTGTGAATCCTATCACAAATACTTTGTTTAACCTTTTCTGATTCTCTTTCTTTTGTGCTCTTTTTACAGGCAGATTATCTGCATGTTCAGCTGTTTCCTGTCAGGCTTCATACGTCTGATGTCTTTCAAAGCAGTTTCATTACTAGCTTTATGCATTTGGCAAGTAGGGTTTAGACCTTTTTGTTCTTGCCCAATTTACATTGAACTTACAAGACTTTGCTTTTTTATTTTCTTTGGCTGATTTCCAATTTTAAATAATATCTTTTATTTACAGGTGTCCTCTATGCTCTTATACCTAACTATATATGTGGTTTTGAGGAGTAGGAATACTGGGGATGTGAAAAGACAAGGGGGAAAAAGTGGTGCTTTTGAATTTTATCAGTTGACTTTTTTTTTTCTCTGTGCCTCTAAAGAAGAGTCTGTAAGCTTCCTTCTGACCTACAATCTTTTTTTTAGCCTTGAAACAATCTTCTCATTTTAAGGTAATTCCTGCTTATAAAATCTAATTTTACAGTATTACTTCTAAAAATTTTTTTCCCCAGTCCTATAAAGAAATTTCGTTAAAGTCTGGTTTGGTGTCACCAACTCTTTGTACATTATTCAAAAGTAGATCAAGTGTAACTTTGCCTCTTTTGGTGAATCTGCCTAGTTACTTTGAGTTGCTTTTTTACTGTAGTACCCTAAAATTTAGACTGCATGATGGCTCAAAAAATAATATATTAAACCTTCTGCTATTACGTTTTCTACATTGCATATTGCCTTACAACCTTTACTATTTAGAAGTCATTATAAAGATGCTTCTTGAGTGATCTGTAATAGGGCACTAACAGTGTTTTTTCTATTTAGACATGAACTCCCTCAGTAGGGAATGCTGTAGATCTTCTACAACCGATTGCTTTATCTTGACCGGCTAATGCTACCTTCAGTATTCTTCTGCTGTAACTCATTAAGGCACCATGTACAACCTTGCATTATTAGTTGTCACACCGACTATCGTCCTTCTGTTCCACTTGGAATCCACCAGGAAATACAAATCTGCCCTTTGAGGATGTTAGATGCTTGGAAACTACACGGAAACACACCGTACGCACAGGCTGACTTTTATCCGCCGAGCTCTGCTTACCTGGGCCGCCGTGCGGGCTCTCCCCCAGCGGTCCATTCCCGCACGGCTCCCCCTCCACCCCGCGGCGACCTCCGCCTCCCCGGCCGAGCCGCCGCGGCCACGGCCGGCTCTGGGTCCCCGCTCCCGGCAGCAGGTGGCAACAGCGGCCCGCGCTGCCGGGAGCTCCGCGCGCCCTTCCCGGGACACGCCGTCCCGGCTCTCGGCAGAGCGGAGCCGCTGCCCCGCCGCCCGCGCTGCGCCGGGCAGGGCGCTCGACGCTGCGCCTTCGCCCCGGTGTCCCGCTGTGCCTCCCGGTGTGCTCCTCACCCAGTGAATAGCCTCCTTTACAGAATAGCTCCGCGTGTAAGGAAGAGAAAGCATGATGAGAAGATTAGGTACAGTGACTTGCTTGCTGTATCCCTTCATCATCCATGATAGGGGAGGGTAAGAAAGAGTGCCGGGGAAATTACGGTTTTCTACTGCAAAAATGGCGCAACCTTTAGTCTGAGAGGCCACTGTTTCCCATGCTGGAGCCAGTGTATTGGTGTTTCTGTACCTGTCACTTTAAGAGGTACCTGGATTTCTCCTCCTTATTGCTCTTCCTTTTCTTCTGTTATCCGTAGGCAATGAAAGATCAGGGTTATTTCTGTTGTTCTGCTGTTTCACAAGAAACCTCCCCAAGCAATGGGTGTTAGGTTCTGTTTCATTGTAATGCGTTTTCTGATTTTAGTGAAGTTGTGATTGCTTTAGCCACCTAGAGACAAAATATAGCCTGATGTCATTGAACTGAAGTAATACAAAGTGCCTCTGGTAATCTCAAAGTACTCAGTAGGCCAAATCTAGTCATGATACTGAAATAAATACACATATGTGGTTCCAAATAACATTTGATTTTTTTTTTTCTTAGATTTGTATCTATTTTGGTTTTCTGCATACGTGGGCATTTGGTTTTGTTACTATCCCAGCCTTTGTTCCTGGAATTAATACCGGCTTTTGAGAAACACTTTGGAGTGTAAAAAAAAGATGGAACTTAAACCATAAACATGCATCCTTCTGCAATCAGCTATCACAGTATTGTGATTTGAATGAGTAAAGCTGTGTAATTTGTCATCTACCTAGCCAAAAATCTTTTTGCATTATTTTCATAATACCACCACACTTAAAGCATGGACTAAATATCACAAGATCATTACATCACTTTCTTAGCATCTGTAGCTCCTTAGTACTGTAACTTCAGAATATTTGGTGAAAGGCTTAACGTGCCTTAGTACGATTAAATCCCTGGTATCTATCCAGACATCCGACAGGGCACACATGTAGAATACCAGGCTACATCTAAACTGTTCTCTGCTGTGCCAAAAATAAAATTTTAATTTGATTTGGAGAAAAAAATTGAGAGTATGTAATTTTATTTCAGTGAGATACTACCATCTGACAGAAGGAAAGAGAAATTTGCTTTTGAAAGGAAACCTCTCAAATGTTTTGTGTTTGTAATTCTTGACCAAGAAAATTTTTATTTTGAGTTGTGACTGCAACAGTTGCTTTTACAGCAATTACAGGGAAATGGGACCTGCTTTGCCTGATTTTTGAATCCCTGTAAGTTTTCATGTAGTATTTCCTAACTATTTCTACTACTACGGATACCAATATCACACACAACTGGATAGCTTGAACCATAAGCAGGGAAAGCTTGTTTCTGAATAATTATGCGTGTCTTCATGGCGAAAAGAACTTGCAGTACTTTCTGTTGTAAATCATCAAAGGGTAGCAACATTCCATGTAGAATGATTTAGGCTTGGTGATGTTACAGAAGACTAGTAGAGTACTTCAGAGAGACCTAGCGAAGGGCAAACAAGCCGCTCAACTCCAGATTTTTAGAAACAACATTCTAAGCATTTAGTCTGGCTGCTAAATAAGGCAAGTCATGTAATACTGCCTGCTAATTTCTGCCGCAAGCTATTAGTCTGTATAAATATGAACATTTTAGCAGTATAAATGATCTTGAATTCCAGCTGAAATTCTGACCCTTCAACCTTTTGCTTTATTTGAAGTTGCCGATAGTTTTGCCGCTGACTTTGGTGAGTCTAGAATTTCATGGAAATACTTTAAATGATGGAGAAGCCAATATATCCCATGAAACATTGTTCAAAAGGTAAATTTCCCTCACTTTCAGCACTTAAAATGCTGTTTCCATAGTCAGTTTGTCAGATTAATTTACAAGTACCCCTCATTCTTCCCTGCTTTTTGCCTGTGAAATTACAAAACCATCTACTTTCAGATATCTTCTCATGCAGATGTGTAATCAGGTTGCTTCTTAACTTTCTTCTGTAAAAGTTAAATAGATCAAGCAATTCAACAGAAAAACAAGTTCTTGAGGTTATTCTGCTGCCTCCTTTGTTGGTCTTTTTGATATTACACCAATTGTAGCTCTAGTCCAAAGACTGTTTTAACTTCTAGTCACTCTTTGAGAGACAAGGAGTGTTACATTAACCATTGATCATAATTGCAACAAGTACAATCAAAATAGGTCTTAGGACAAGCTTGAGTCTGCTCAGGAAAGGGCAGGTCTCCCATTTGCATTGCCACATGGGTTTCCCTGAGGATTAATCACTATTTTTAGTATCTTTCTTTTCAGTGTTGATAAAGATACAGTTATTTTGCAGTAAGCTGACAGCAGATTGCTATGAAAGTCTAAGATATTCTCCTTTCTGGTATTGTTTCAAGACCAATTAAATTTTCAGATCTATGAGCTAGGCATTTATCAGCTTATTTAGTGCTGACAAGTACTTTAATGTAAGTGTTCTAAATTGCCAACTGGGCACACCTGGAACTCCATTACTATGTACTAACTGTGGGTAAATTGAGAGCAAAAAAAAAAAAAAAGCTATGATCGCAAGTTATCTGTTTAATGTAGAGAATCTATGTTTTGAAAAAAAAATGTGTGTTAGCTATCTGCCCTGATAGCTTTATCAAATTCACTACCAGATGATTCCAAATAAATCTCTTCCTCCTCCTCCTCCTGCTCTTTGTTTATACTTATAATTTAGAATGTGATCCATAAAGCATGAAAGAAAAATCTTCTCTTTGTTTATGGACTGGACTACTCAGAGTTAGCCATGGCTTTGTTTACTGTGAGCTACTCTAATAAAAATAGATAAGATGGAATTAAATCAAAAGTCAGCAAATTTGAATTCTGAAAAAATCCATGCATAATTTAAAGTCTCAATTCATTCAAACCCTGAAGGCTTTTTTGTATTCCAAACAAGCCTTGCTAACACCTTGCAGTTACACTATCACTGGTACAATAATTAGCCTGTGGAATTCCTGGTCTTAATATAATTGAAACAGAGATTGAAAAGTGTTTGAGCCTTTCTGAATCTAAAAGAAAAGTCAAACACTAACATGCAGGAAACCCAAATTTTATGTCACTTGAATCATGAATTTAAAGCTATAAATCATATCTCTCTGCAGGCAGATTGATACACAATGTCAGATCTACTGCATATGTGCCTGTGCAGCTGATGTTTGTACAGTTTGTTTTTATAATGTGCACTGTAAATATATACTGTTACATAAACATCCCCAAAATATATTCCTCCGATTTTATGTTCTAGTAGTCTTCTCACAAAAAAGTTACATACTTGACAGGTATAACAAGTTTCCATTTGAGAACCTCTAAATGAAATGCCTATGCCGTGCTGGACTATCTCAACCAGAAAGTGAAAAAACTTAGTAGAAGCTGCTGATGAAATAAAAGTGAACAGCATTGGGTTTTTTATAGCAGTAATTTAGTTTTCTGCAACAGAATTTCTTACATGTAAAATATATCCATATGTTAATACTAATTTTATATTAAAATCTTGTTCTTGAAACACTTTAAAAATACATGTGAGGGTCAGGAAGTTTGCCTAGTGAACAACAACCCCCTAGTATAGGCATAAAGCACAATTATATTTTTTAACTTATTTAAATGTGCCCTATATCATTTGCATTTTTGTACCATGCTAAGCCTTAATTAGTGTTTTGGGCATTCTCATAGTAATCCTTTTCAGTTTGTTGAAGATCTTGAATCCTGCCTGTCAGTCTTGCTCTTCAAATTCACTTCCCAGTGACCAGCCCTTGGCAGGTTCATTGAGACTGTTTGCTCCTCTATGCACTATAGTTTAAAATAAGCATAATCTGGTAAAATGCCAATCTTTTCTCAATCTCCCTATATCCTACACCCATGTTTTTTTCACCTGCCAAATTCAAACAAATCTTATCTAAACAATTAAGATAAGCATTGAAGTACTCTCTATAGTCAAATCAGCAAACCTCTCAAAACCAGAACTGAAATACAATCTCTCTAAATTAAACAGTCTACAATGGCAATCATGTTTGTATTTAAACATTTTATTCTGAAAGGATTACAGCATTGCTCTCCACGTTTTTTTTCCTGCCTAGACAAGAAGGCGACATACTGAGTCAAACAATATATATGTGTTCTCTATGAACTGAACTTGCACACTCTTTATAAACAAACTGTATAGGTGTATGAAGTTAGACTTCACTTAATCAGTAACTGCTGTCCTTAACATAGTAGGCAATTGTTTGAAATGTTTGTAATGTAACTGTTTATATCAACTATGTTCAGCTATATATAAAATCTAGTGATTTATTTTATTGTATATATGAATATATATTTACATGTATGCAAAAAAACACTTGATACAATTTGTTTATCGGTATACAAATTAGAGAACAGGAATGTTAAGGACAAGTGTCTGAAAATTGAATTGTGTTTATGAGAGAATAATCGTACGAAAGATTCACTCCTTTCAAGGAAGTTTCCTACCTCTGTTACTTCACACTTTGGCAACACATATTCTTGCTTAATTGATTCTTATTTTATTGCTTCCTAGAAATATGAGTGCATATTCTTGAAGGTATTTAAAATTTTTAGGTCCTTTAAAAAAGGCGCAATTGAAAGCAACAGGTCATCTTAATCTATGGCTTCTGCTTGGAAATGTTGTTTACTGTTCTGGTTTCTTACACAAGCTTCAGATCAAGGTGAATTACTGCCACAGTAAAACTGTGTGCAAGCATTCTAAGTGCTGTTTCTTGCCTCTGATCCATGCTGTATATACTTGTGTTGAAGATCCAGTCTCCATTGTGCTTTGTGCACTCAGAGCTTTCATCCTGAGAATGTTAGAGTATTTGCTAATAGATAAACATATCACAAAAGTACTGAGGGCAAGAAGGTAGATAATAATGTGAAATTTTTCATTTATGCTAACTCTACCCAGTGTAGTCATACCCTACCTACCCATTATCAGTGGGGTTTTTGGTTTGCTTGTTTGTGTTTTTCCCCTGCAAGTTGTGCAAGTCCAGATACTCCTGTTTAAAAATTCTTTTATTTCACTTATTTTCTGAGAAAAATTACACAGTCATGACCCTTGTGTGTTTGCTGCAGCTTCCATTAACACAGGGACATTTGGTTTTAGCATTGTTAGGTAAGCACAACATTTATTTCGAAGAGGTCCATTTGGGATTTAGCTTTCTGCATTGGAGATCCACATTACTGTTATGTAAGATAAAGAATAATCCCAAGCAGATAGCAGTACTTGTCAAATTGTTGGAAGTACCACCAATAAAAACATGACCTTGTGAATGTTAGATGAAAGATGCCAATAAATTCACATGGGGGAGGGGGGCTGAAAAAAACAAAAGAAAAAAATCCCCTAACAACAAAAATAGCAAAGGATATGAATTTTTGGAGTTGTGGGTTTACTATGTAACCAATAAAAGACTGCAAGTTTTGCAACTTAGTTTATTTTTAAATATAAATAGTAAGTTGGATGTAAATCTGGGTTTACTTCTCAAGAACCTTGACATTACATCATCATATAATCTTTATAGCAGCTGAGGAAGCCATCGCATTTTAGTCATCTTCTGAGGCTCTCTGGGTTCTTTTATTGATGAGAACATTGAGGCAGATGTTTTTTTCTTTACATCTGAATTGAGCAGTTTGTCTCTCAGTCATTCCAAGGAACCTAGTGAAATTGTCTACATTGAGACCTGTTTTCTGTTTGAATGTGTAGTGTTCTTGGATTTTCCTCTAATGAAGGCTTCCATTTTGTAGTCAGTGAACAAAAAAAAAAATTATCTATTATTTTTCTGTAATTTGTTGTCAGAAACATGAGTTGATCAGCCTATATACTATCTGACTTATTTTTCTTGTATCAGAATTTCCCATTGTTTAAGGTTTTGCCAGTATGTTAGTTCTTGAATGTTGTTGGATTTGGACCACCTGCACTTTACTGCCTGTATATTATTCTTAGAGAAGCTCTTGTTTTTAATTACCTCAGAAATACTACTTCAAGGAAGATCATACAATGTGACACATTGGACCTACTCATCTATTTATGTTCCTCTTTTTCCTTCCAAATATCTTTTTTAGATAATTGAAAATTAATATATATCATAAAATTTGGTTGAATGAATTTTAATGCTACAGGTATGCCCAAAATTATGTAGTAATTTTAAGACTCTGTTTATGTACAGCTTACTATGTTTATATATATTGATATAGGTTCTCAATAACAACAAAGTCCTTTTTTGTTGTAAGACTGGTTGATGCCTTTACTGTTTCTTTCACTCTTCAGCTTGGGGTAATATTCCTGGGATATAGATGGTCTAAGTGTTAACATGGAACAGAATTATTCGGGGATGAAAGTCTGGAAAAAGTACCATGGAAGTTGTAACCTCTCAGTATCCTTTAAGCTTGCTTGTTAGAGTCACGTGATGGGCAAAACAGCTGTGAAAATCCCCAAATCTGTGCCACACACAGAACTGTGTGACCAGAGTACTGTGATTAGTTGCTGTAGAAGTAGGAGGTCTTTTACTCAGTGAAGAAGAATCAGTCTGCCTTTGTATTTTGCTGTACTGACCGCCTGTATGCTGCCATTTGATAGAGAAGATGTGAAGTCTTGCGGAAGTTCTTTATGCGCTTCTGGAGAAAGAGGGCACATGTAAAAGTGAAGAGGGAAAGATGTGCAGGAGGAAAAAGGAATGGCCTCTTAGGGCGACACTGCTTGGTTTTTGGAGAAGTCCATTGAGGTGGAAATAAGCATGAAGAACTTGGGTGGGTGATTTGCTTGTTTGTCTCCCTGAAAGATGGATCTGAGTACAGCAGGACAGGTTTGGAGGTGGTTTTACTTCAGCTACTGCTTCTTTCTGAGGAGTTAAACTGTAATCTTTTATCAGTCAAGTAGGATTTGGAAAATGCTTAGTCAGTCTTTTGGGAGACAGCAGTGCTTCTAGGAGATTTCAAGAAGGAGTCGCTTAAGTTTAGAGTCCAGAGACAGAAAATCTTGGGAGGCATACTTGGAAAAGCCAGAGATATGGAGTGTGATTTGAAACTGCTCTGAGAAAAGGGAAGGCATAAGACTAAGCATCTGACTGAATATAAGTTTCATGAAAATATGTGAGATTGCGCTGATGAGAGTTCTATGGCATAAAAATTGGATCTAAAAGGTTGATAATTCTTTTTTCTTCTTCCTGGAGTTCTTCTCAGTGGGAAACTTTGAATTTTGGCCTTTTCATTTTAAAAAGAAATTCCAAAGTTTTGGACTTTGAAATGAAATAGAATTTCCAAGGACTGGCTAGCTGTAG